CTTGTCCTCAAGGTGAAAAGAAGGAAACTGCTACATTATTGTCTCCACGGATTCAAATTCTGGCAAATCAGTCCATTGAAAGAGCATTTCTACGATCAGCTTTGACCGCAGCTGGTGTCACCTGCAATTCCAAATCGTCAGACAACATAGGCGGTAGGGGTTGAGGTTTGGTAGAGGACGATAGGGCCTTCTTCGATAAAGAGACATCGATTCTCTTTCATAAACTGACTTGGATTGAGCCCGTGCTGACAGTGTTTGGCTAAGAAAAGCCACTGGGCATCCTTCCTGCATTAAAAGGTTGGAAGCATTTCTCTCTATAACATTGAAAACTGTCTTTTTTTAACAGTTGGGTTAAAGGCCTGTACTTGTTTAACTGCTCACTTTTTTTCGCCACTGTTTCCCTCATTACGAATAAAACTTCCATGCCTCTTTCCAACGGTTCCACCCGTGCTTTCATACCGCGTGTTGTCACCATGAATGGTCTCCAGGAACGTTGAGCCCTGATACTAGTTGATAGAAATCAATTGGTATAGAATTAAAATATTGAATTCAATTCATTGGAATATGTATTGAAATACCAGAATTACAGAACCACCACTGAACAACACATACCAAGTTGCTGAGAACTTGTTCTCTCCTTCATGATTCCTTTCTAATTCCAGATGTCTTTTTCCTCCCCTCTTTCCCTGTTTCTCTCTGCCCCATAACTGTCTAAGAAACAATTATGTTTACACCCTAATCTACATTAAAACCGTCAATAGTTATTATAGTAACTGTTTTACTGTAAAACATTAAAACTTGTTGTTTCTCCTCTTATAATGCTTACGTATAAGAGGTCAAACACAACATTGCGTACTTTCAAGGTGGACGACTTTTTTCATATTTTCAGTTAAAATAATTTCACTGGTTTTCACTTTGGTGAAGATAGGTTTTACTTTCCCTGTCAATTTCTTAAATTAATTAGAAATAAGTAAACAAATTTTAAAGCTTTAATAGCCTATTTCAAATGAAAATTATTAATGTTGTTAATATATAACCAGGTTATTGTCATGATTTGTGGAATTTTCACTGATATACAGAACGTCTGCGAGTTTTGTTCGTCCTCTGAAAATGCGTCTTGCTGAATTAGGGATGACGTGAAGATTTGTCTTTTTTTGTTGGAGTGTTTTGTAATAGTAAATTTTAAACAGACTTGATAAATATTTTACGTGGGGGTTTGGAATAAATTTATTCAGAGGTTTAGTTCATTGACTATTTAAGGTTTCTTTCTTCATTGTAAACCAGGGAAGGTTCTATTTCATTTCCTTGCCCACTTGGAGAGAGAGAGAGAGAGAGAGAGAGAGAGAGAGAGAGAGAGA